CTGTGCCCGGGAAAGAGAGAGAGGAAAAACAGCGTGAAATGCATTCAAGTGGAAAGGATGTTCTGGGTCTAGAACAGGCCTAGGCAACCTTGGCTCTTTTATGACTCGTGGACTTCAACTCCCAGAATTCCTGAGCCAGCATGAGGGAAACTTTGGCCCCCTCATGACTTGTGGACTTCAACTCCCAGAATTCCTGAGCCAGCACGGCTGAGCTTGGAAACCTCTCCCTTTCCCCTCAGCATGGCTGACTCAGGAATTCTGGGAGTTGAAGTCCACGAGTCATAAAAGAGCCAAGGTTGCCTACCCCTGGTCTAGAAGGTTCAAACCGTCTACAAAGCGCCTTGAAAGCTGCACTGGATCCCTCCCTAAGTGGGTTGGATTTTATCCTGCCCTTATTATTGTTTCGAAAGAAGGCAAGGCGCTGAGCGTGCCTACCTTCCTCCTGCTATTTTCCCCACAACAACCCCGTGAGGTAGGTTGAACTGAGAAACTGATTGACAAAGTCACCCAGCCAGCTTGCGTGCCTATGGTGGGATTAGAACTCAGCGTCTCCTGGGGATTGGCCCAAAGTCATCTTTTATGTCTATGGTGGGACTAAAACTCACCATCGCCTGGTGATTGACCCAAAGTCACTTATGCTTAAAGTGGGACTAGAACTCACCATCGCCTGGTGATTGGCCCAAAGTCACTTATGCTTAAAGTGGGACTAGAACTCACCATCGCCTGGTGATTGGCCCAAAGTCACTTATGCTTAAAGTGGGACTAGAACTCACCATCGCCTGGTGATTGGCCCAAAGTCACCAGTCAGCTTTTATGCCTAAAGTGGGACTAGAACTCCCAGTCTCCTGGTGATTGGCCCAAATTCACCCTCCCCAGCTGACTTTCATGCCCAAGGCAGGTCTAGAACTCACTGGCTCCTGGCCCGTAGGCCAGCAGACCAAATTGACAATCGTCCGCATTCTGCAGCCGCCAAGATCGCAAGGAAGCAGGATCCACGGCGGGTACAGGCCGGCAGAAAGCGGCCTGGACACGAGTTAACCCTGGAAAAAGCGTCATCTTCACCTCCCGTCATCCTTCCCTCCCCCCCCCTTGCTAGGATTCTACATCTGAAGAGGGCTCCCTTGAGGTCATCAAGTCCACTCCCTGCTGCAGGCAGGAATCGTGGCACTCTCAACAGCCGGCTAGCCTCAATACCGGCATGGATGGAGAACTATCCCTGGCCAAAACCCAAAGCCCCCTTCTGCCCAGTCCCCTCCCGCCCCCGTGCCCACCCATGCCCACGTTCCCAAGTCCGACTGCATTCCTGGAACGGAAGCAAATTCGGGACTGGCATGGAGGCCTTTCAGAGAGGAAGAATTTGGCACCGCCTCCCACCGGGCCCCCTCCCGGGCGCAGCACCGGGGAAGGGTTACCATGGTAACTGAGATTTTTGTTGTGGACCTGAAGCGCTAAGAAATCAATTACTAACAAATCATCCAGGGGGCCTTTTTTTCTCTCACCCCCCCTTCCCCGCCTCCAAAGGGAGTGGATGATTGGCTGGGCAGTGGAAGAAAAGAGCTGAAGTCCATCAGAGGATTGGGGAAATTCAGGGATAAATGGAGAGGGGAAGATCGGCTGGTTTTGATTGATCGATTGATCAGTGTTGATTGATGGAGTGGCTTGAGCATCCCTGATCTTAATTGCAACTGGGCTCAAAAGGTGATGCAACATGAGCAGGTCCCGTACGCGTCGCCGTCCATGCGCCCCTGCCCAGAATCTAAGCTCGTTCCAAAATCGAGAAATTGCCAAACTGCACAATGACATTGATCGGATTTAAAACTTCTAGAAACATACATCGGGTATTAGTTTAATGTCAAGAAGGACCAGGGGTGGCATGATAGCAGTCTCCCAATATTTGAGGGGCTGCCACAAAGAAGAGGGGGGGGTCAGTTTATTTTCCAAAGCGCCTGAAGGCAGGACAAGAAACAACGGATAAAAATTAATCAAGGGGAGAAACAATCTGGAATTAAGGAGAATTTCCCAAGAGTTAGAATAATTAACCAGTGGAACGACTTGCCTCCAGAACGTTTGAATGCTCCAACACTGGAGATTTTTAAGAAGAGATTGGACAGCCATTTGTCTGGAATGGTACAGGTGGTCCTCAATGTATGACCACAATGGAGCCCAAAATTTACGTTGCTAAGTGAGCCATATGCCAAGTGAATTTGGCCCCATTTTACGACCTTTCTTGCAGTTGTTAAGCTAGTAACACGGCTGTTAAGTGAATCTGACTTCCCCCTTCACTTTGCTTGTCAGAAGCTCGCAAAGAGGGGTCACGTGATCCCAGAACGCTGCGACCGTCGTAAGTACGAGTCAGTTGCCAAACATCCTAATTCTGATCACGTGGCCATGGGGAGGCTGCAACGGTCCTAAGTGCGAAAAATGGCCCTAAGTCCCTTGTTTTCAGTGCCGTTGTGACTTTGAACGGTCACAAAACGAACTGTGGTAAGTCTACCTGTGTAGGGCCTTCCTGCCTGAGCTGGGGCTGGACTAGAAGGCCTCCAGGATCCCTCCCAACTCTGCTATTCTGTAATCCGTGGGCCAGATCCTTTAAGCAGACATGCAGAATCCAGACTTCTTTTGAATAGGGGAGAATTCAGCTCCCACGGATTGAAAACCTCTCCGGAGTGCGGCTACAGTAGATCCATTAGCCGGGCTTCTTTTCATGCAGTGGTTCTCAACCTTTTTAATGCCGCGACCCCCAACCGGTCGTAAGTCGAGGACTACTCAACCGGTCGTAAGTCGAGGACTACTCAACTGGTGCAGCACCGTTTGCAGACTGGGACTTTTGGCGGGCTCAGCAGGGCAGAGACAGCCTGGACAATTCCTATTGGCTTTGGAAAGCCAATAGAATTAGACTCTATTCAAGAGAGTCTATTCTATTGGCTTTCAAAAGCCAATAGAATAAAAGGGAGTAGCACAGCTAAGGAAAAGGGGGGAAAAAATGGCGGACTGCGTTGTTTGGCGACCCCCGTGAAATGGTCGTTCGACCCCAAATGGAGTCCCGACCCACAGGTGGAGAACCACTGCTTTAATGCATTTGGACCGAAGAAATTCCTCTTTTCCACCCTTGCACGGATACACACGGACACGAACGGAAAGACCAAGTCGGAGCAGCTGTGAATATTTCATTCGGTGCTAAAAGATTTATTTCTTGCAGCCCGGAAACCCTCCGGAGACTGTGCCGTGGGCGCTGCGTTTTTTGCAAAACAGACTGATGCTTCCTCGTTGCCTTCCTGAGGCCAGAAAGAGCCATCCACATGTCTAGCCCATCCCGTTTTCCTGCTTCTTTGCAAAATGCAAATCTCGGCGACTTAAATATATATATAATCTGCCTTCAGGCGCTTTGGAGAATAGCTTGTCTCCCTCTTCTTTGGGGCAGCCTCTGAGATATTGGAAGGCTGCTATCATGTCCCCCCTTGTCCTTCTCTTTGTTAAACTAGACAGACCCAATCCCAGCAACCGTTCCTTGTATGTTTTATCCTCCAGTCCCATAATCATCTTTGTTGCTCTTCTCTGCACTCTTTCCAGAGTCTCAACATCTTTTTTACATCGTGGTGACCAAAACTGGATGCAGTATTCCAAGTGTGGCCTTACCAAGGCCTTGTAAAGTGGCATTAATACTTAATACTGGAGATTTTCAGTCATCTAGGTCAATAGAGGAGGAGGGACACAAAATCCTCTATCTCCTGTCTACAACACAATCCTTTTGGCAGTTCCAAGAGGGCTCTACACCCATTTGCACCACTCAGGTGACCCCAAGGACAAAGACAAACCTCCAAGTGGCCTCAACGACTCTCTAAAAGGATGCAAATGACCAGCGGTCTGCAAAGAGTATCAATGCTTCCGTTCCCCACCATTCATTCAGAGCCGAAGAAGCTTCTTGGACGAGAAGCGAAACATCTTCAAAGAAAAACAAGAAACTCCAGTTGCCTCGTGAAAAAAGCACCTTTGGGACAGGAACTGCCAGGGCACAGGATGTTCCAAGGGGAAAAGAGAGCTAGCCATAAGATTCTTTGACATCTTCATTTTTTTTTTTTCCTGTCCACCTTTCCCTTCGGGGTCCTCTTTCACAAGCTGTGATTTTCAAACCAGCTTTTCTTTCCCTCCAGGGAAGGCTGTTTTAGACCATGTTGATCGGGTCGGATTGAAATAGTTTTAAGTTGATGGGTTGGGAGGGGGAAAAAAAATGGATTTTCACTGTAAATTGCTCAAGGAGGAAATTGTTCGTTTCTCTCTTCTTCTCTCCTGTCCTTTTCTAAAGAGTTCTATATCAGGGGGGGGGGATTCCTCAATCTTAGCAATTTTAAAATGTGTGGACTTCAACTCCCAGAATCCCCCCCCCAGCCAGCCAGCATCTGGGAGTTGAAGTCCACGCATTTTCAAATTGTCAAGGTTGAAAAACATTGCTCTCTATTTTCATTAGGATAGCCTTTCTTCTTTCTGTGAAAAGGGCTGATTATATCACCCTGAAGGTTCGCTGGTATTGGTTTTTTTTTTTAAAAAAAAAAGTTCCATAGTTCTCACTTTCTGGAAAGGAGGACATTACAGGAGTGTCACACTTATCCAGGTTGAATTCCTTTGACAAACATAATCTCGCGATCCTCATGATCTCTTGCAAGGCTTGAGTTTTTTGGCAGGTATACGAATTAAGCAGAGAGGAGATTCTGTTCCTATTCACAAGGAAATCCACCATCTCCTAACCCAGTATTTCCTAATTTTTTTCCCTTCATGCTGACTGGGGAATTCTGGGAGCTGAACTCCACCCATCTTAATGGAGTTGAGTCCATCCATCTTAAAACATCCCAGTGTAAGCCATCAGGGTTTGATTTCTTCATTTCTAAAATGACCCATACTCAGTTCTCTTTTCTGATCTTCAGCCTAAGTGGAATTTTCCTCCAATGTGATTTTCCCATGTATTTTACCAGGAAACATAGGTAGGGCAGTATAGAAAAGTCAGT